CGGAGGTTGCGGTGAGCCGAGATCGCGCCATTGCACTCCAGCCTGGGTAACAAGAGCAAAACTCCGTCTCAAAAAAAAAAATTAAATAAATAAATAAATAAATAAATAAACTAATTAATTAATTAAAAATCTAAAATGTGTGCCCAAAGTTACACAGAAGTTACATTTTTAATAGTAGTATCATGTGAGAAATTGAGGTATTTTTCCCCCTACTTCTGTTATTCTTTTGTAACTCCTATCTTTTGATTCTTTTTTGTTTTGTCTCCTTATGTACTTCCTTAATCTTTCTGAATTTTTCCCTAATCCCAAACTGCTAGAACTGTCCAAGGCCAGGAAGAATTGAAAAGAAGATGGTTTCTTAAAATCTCTCTTCCATGCTTCTTTGGTCTTTTGCAGAAGACTGTAATTTATTGGGCACTCTTCAGTATTCATCAGTTTATTTCCATTGAAGAACTTTGAACTCCTTCAAGTTCAAAAAAAAAACCTGTGAATTTTAAGAAGCATCAATATTGAAGCCTTTTCTCTTATAACTTAGTAATTGTGTGACCTTTGGCAAATTTCACATTCAGATCCTCAATTTTCGCATCCCTAAATGGAGAGTGATACTACCTACCTCATAGGTTTAGTTCTAGTGGTCAATAACTTACCTATATGAATTATAAGGTATAAAGAAATGAACTCTTTTTTTAAGTTTGTTAACATTATCACTTGAGCACTTTATCCAAGTTGTATTTTGTGAAGACATGAGAAAGGGAAATAAAATATTTTTTAAAAAGTTAAGAAAACATTTTTTTGACCAGGCGCAGTAGCTCACACCTCTAATCCCAGCACTTTGGGAGGCTGAGGTGGGTGGATCACCTGAGGTCAGGAGTTCAAGACCAGCCTGGCCAATGTGACGAAACTCTGTCTCTATTCAAAATATAAAAATTAGCTGGGCATAATGGCACGTGCCTGTAATCCCAGCTACTTGGAACGCTGAGGCAGGAGAATCATTTGAACCTAGTGGGTAGAGGTTGCAGTGAGCCAGGATCATGCCACTGCACTCCAGCCTGGGTGACAGACTGAGACTCCATCTCGAAAAAAAAGAAAATTTTTTTTCCTAAGTTTTAATCAGTGAGTTTATCTGTATGTAAAGCAGAGGGTTTTTGTTTTCTACAGGTTATATTCCCAAATAACTTTGAAACAGGAAATGGAGGAAATATACAGGGACATCTTCCCATGATGCCAGTGTCTCCTCTAGTGCATCCAAGAGTGAAGGAAGTTCGAACTGACAGTGGGAGTCTTCGAAGAGGTAGGTTCAACATTGGGAGAGTAACAAAAAAGTAACAAAGATCTTTTTTTTTTTGAGAGAAAATTTTAAGTCTTGTGAATACATTATTCAGAAATCAGATTTCTTTATCAGGATTTGAAAAGGAGCTTGATGCTTGTGCTAGCACCCCTGTGTAGCTCATTGTATGCTATATTATACACTATTATATATATATTATATTCTATAGTGTATACTATATTAATAGAATTTTAAATGTAGTTTATTTAATAGTTTGTTTAATAAATAGTTTAAATGGTTTATTTAATAAATTAATGTAATCTTTCCTGAATGCTAATGGGAAACTGTGTAAATAAGCTAAAATCAGGCATCATGGCATCTTTCTGTAGTCCTAGCTACTCAGGAGGTTGAGACAGGAGGATTGAGGATTGTGTGTTGTGGGCAAAATAGTGAGACCCCGTCCCCCATTTCCCTCCCAAAAAAAAGAAAAGAAAGGAAAAAAGATAAGTGTATTAATCTGTTCTGGCACTGCTAATAAAGACATACCTGAAGCTGGGTAATTTATAAAGGAAAGAGGTTTAATTTACTCACAGTTCCAAATGGCTGGAGATGCCTCATAATTATGGTGGAAGGCAAAGGAAGAGCAAAGGCAAGTCTTACATGACAGCAGGCAAGAGAGCTTGTGCAGGAGAACTCCCCTTTATAAAACCACCAGATCTCATGAGACTTATTCATTATCTGGAGAACAGCATGGGGAAGACCTGCCCCCATGATTCAATTACCTCCCACAACACATGGGAATTATGGGAACTACAATTCGAGATGAGATTTGGGTGGGGACACAGCCAAAGTATATCACTAAGCTAAATACCTATTTTTCCAAATTTCCCAAATTTATATTCTTCCTTTGCCTGTGTATGTCTTGGTAGAAAAACATTTAAAGCAAAACAGAATTCTTATTCTCTTTGGAATGCTTAAGTTCGTCTAATAAACTACTTATTTATACTCTTAAAGTAGTTCATTTTGAGACTTACCAGTGGAAAGATTTTAGTTCATTCTTCTTATTTTCTCTTGTGACGTAGCAAGCTGATGTGTGCATCTTTTGGGTGATACAGCTCTTGGATTTTAAAAAATCAGTTAAAATCTCTTGACCACATAGTATCCCTTAACAAATCTTAGATGAACAAGTATTCAGGTTGCATAGTACGGTACACCCATTTTTGGAGTCTTTGTGATTGTGTATGTACGTCTGCCTGTCTGCAATCTGCTTTACATGCAATGCAGGATCATAAAAGCGATTGCAGGCCAGGCATGGTGGCTCAAGCCTGTAATCCCAGCACTTTGGAAGGCCGAGGCCGGGGGATCACCTGAGGTTGGGAGTTCAAGACCAGACTGTCCAACATGGTGAAACTCCATCTCTACTAAAAATACAAAAATTAGCTGGGCATGGTGGGGGGCACCTGTAATCCCAGCTACTTAGAAGGCTGAGGCAGGAGGATTGCTTGAACCTGAGAGGTGGAGGTTGCAGTGAGCCAAGATTGCACCACTGCACTCCAGCCTGGGCAACAGACCAAGACTCCATCTCAAAAAAAAAAAAAAGTCTGGGTGCGGTGGCTCACTCCTGTATGCCTATAATCCTAGCACTTTGGGAGGCCGAGGTGGATGGATTGCCTGAGCTCAGAAGTTCAGGATCAGCCTGGGCAACACAGTGAAACCCCATCTTTACTAAAAATACAAAAAATTACCTGGGCATGGTGGTGCATGCCGGTAGTCCCAGCTACTTGGGAGGCTGAGGCAGGACAGTTGCTTGAACCCTGAACCCAGGAGGCAGAGGTTGCAGCACAAGATGTGAATACTAAGTAATTTTAGTTAGTGGGAATCATTATAATTTTTTTTTTGTTGTACCCAAGCAAGTTAGAAGGAAAGTGCCATACTCTGTGTTTCAATTGAGAGTCCTTTATTGCTGGCGACCAAGAGTCATCTCACACTCAAAAATCTCTCGGCCCCGATGAAGGGCATGTAAAGTCTTTTATACCCATTTTTAGGGAGGGGAGGAGGAGCCTAGCTGAAGCGGAATTTTACAGAAGCAAAACAAGCAAGTTAGAAGGGGGAGCTGGTTACCAGGAGGTAAATGGTTCTCATGATTGTTGGTTACTGAGAGGGGTAATCACAATAGCCGGGGGAATTGCCAAGCAGGATGTGGTTACAAGGTCCTGGGTACAGCGTAACCCAGCTATGCACCCAAAGGGGGACTGGCGGGGAAGGTGAGGCTAAGATGGAGTTGGTCAGGCTCACATTTAAGATGGAGTCTGTTAGGCTCACTTCATTTTGACCTTTACCAATCTTGTCAAAATGTTTAAAAAAAAAAAAAAGAAGAAGAGAAAAGAAAAACTCTTCTTACTGTCAGTTGTTAATGTTTACAGAAATGAAAAAATAGTAAAAATATTTAGTATACTGTAATTTAAAACTTTGGAAATATTGAGAATTCTTTTCCTTTTTTTTTTTAAATTTTTTTTTTGAGACAGACTCATACTGTTGCCTAGGCTGTAGAGCAGTGGCACAATCTCAGCTCACTGCAGTCTCTGCCTCCTGAGTTCAAGCAATTCTCCTGCGTCAGCCTCCCAAGCAGCTGGGACTACAGGCATGCATCACCATGCCCAGCTAATTTTTTTGTATTTTTAGTAGAGATGGAGTTTTACCATGTTGGCCAGGACGGTCTTGATCTCCTAACCTCATGATGTGCCTGCCTTGGCATCCCAAAATGCTGGGATTACAGGCTTGAGCCACCATGCCTGGCCTGTTTTC